TCTCTCCAAAAATAATAAAGCTTTAGACTATCACAATACTGGATCAGTTTAACAATTGATAAATCATTCATAGACATCAGTTGTCCCTATCAAAGAGGTCATCATATTAGTTGATTAAAAATGCATTTGATCAAAATATGTTCTAACCTGGGTTTCAAGAAGAAGAATCTGGAAGTAGCTTCTCTCAAAGGCCTCTAGCTTTTAACATAATACACAATAAAAGAAAAGAAAAAAAAAACAGGAAGTGTTAACCATGAAAAAAATAGTTAGCCTTAAGATTATCCGTATACTGGATCAGTCAATAATTGAAATACATTCATAGACATCAGTTGTCCCTATCGAAAGTGTAATCACATTAACTAGTTTTATAAAACATAAATATTCTTACTCATATTTAAGGTAGAATGTTCATGTGGAAGTTACTTCTAATAGTTGTGTAGTCTTCATCAGGTAATTGAAGTCAGGTTTTAAGGTCTTAGCCATTAGGATGACTTATTAAAGTACACAGCTGAAAAAGAGATCAGTACTAAGGGAAAGCTGCAGTTTATTAAACCAAAACTGATATTTCGACAGTATCAGTATTGTTGTAAATATTACAAACCATTTCCCGAACAATTTTTCCTTAAGATTCTAACCACGTTCTGGGTTGACATTCCTTCCACGTGGTATCAACTTTACATTTGAAGTCTGCTAATTTTAGTGCATTTTAAAATACCATATGATTCGTTATTTTGAACTTTTTCCGTCATTTTTAGCTCAAATATGTGCACTAAATAAATAGTACATTTCTTAGTTTGTTGCTATTTACTAACATTTTATATTTTATTATATAAATAGAAATTTCTAATTGGACACTCCAATTGATATAATTTTAGTTTTTAAAGCATCCGTAACTAATGTTCTTAACTGGCCAACATTCTAAATTGCTTTCAGATACATACTTTAACTGTGAACATACGCAATTCTGCCCGTATATGGTTCAAATTTTTTAGCTGACTTTTCAGCAGATCAACTGTTATTCTAACAAAACACAAAAATACATACATAAACTTATTACTATTATTTATCGCTCTTCTGCGTCAGGATTAACGTCCAGGGATGCCGCCATGTTCAAGTTATGTTCCTGCTGTTGCTGTTGTAACTTTAGGCGTTTTTTTGCCTGTATATCAGCTAGAGTCTGCTCGATGGAACGCATGTCCTTTTTGTTCTTACTGGGCACAAAGCCGTAGCTCTGATTTGTCTCTGTTTTTCGGGCCGCTTGCAATGCTGCCGATTCGCCAATTAGATGTGCATATTTCGCTTTATAATTAGTGGTTGGTTTCACTTCAATGCTTGTGGGATCTGTGCTGCTGCTGCTGCCATGAGCTCGACTGGTGCCGGCTTCAGAATTAGCTTCCTTATTAATCAGGCTTTGCTCCTGGGCTAAACGTTCTTTTCGTCGCTCAGAGTATTCTTTGGCTATCTCCTTGTTCCAGCCCTCGCCGTTACGACGGGCTGCTACTTCGTCCTCGCTTGGTGGGTGTTCCTTTTTGTAGACCACCGAGTGACGGTCCTCCTCCTCTCGTCCGAAACTCATCGCAATGAAACCACCGTTCTCAGCTATTTCATGTATGACAGAGCGATGCACTTTATCCAACGGCTGGAACTCGATGTATGTCCGATCGTCCTTGGCAAATCGACCCATTCTCTCCTCTACATACTTTCGAAATCGTAATAGCTCCTCCTTTTGCTTGTTTTGCAAGCGCTCCACCATTTCACGTTGTTTTTTGATAAGCGTCTTTTGTTGTTCATTTGTTGCTGGCGGAGCATCCATTGAGTTAAGTATTGAGTCAAGCAAATCCATTTTGTCGCTGCGATATTAACTGAGTGCGCATTAATGCTGAACTCAAATGTTTATTTCATAAAGCACACACGGATTTCTATTAGATGTTGCTAGTTTATTAAATTAATGGCGACATTTGGATTATATTTATATTTTCATACATATGTATTGTACAAAATAGATTACCGGTGCTTCTGCACCAAAATACCAGATAATAAATACTGACTATTATGAAGTATTTTTTAGCGGTTTGAAAACTGAAATGGCAAATTAAAGACGGTATTTCTTATAATCTGTAAAAGAGTTGTCAGTTCACATAAAAGAGGCGGCACTGTCAAAAGACACTCAATCGTGGTCCAAGGGCTTGTTGTAAAGAAAACAAACAGCCACTCAACTTAAATTCGATGGCTGCCGAGCGTCGAACACTTATCCATTGGTTTCGCAAGGGACTCCGGGTTCACGACAATCCCGCGCTGACTCAAATATTTAATAAAGCTAGAGCGTCCCCCGATAAGTTCTCTGTCCGACCTATATTTGTATTGGATCCGGGTATTTTGGATTGGATGCAAGTGGGAGCCAACCGTTGGCGATTTCTCCAACAAAGTCTCTTAGATTTAGATAAAAACTTAAAAGAACTTAATTCGCGTCTGTATATTGTTCGCGGCAAACCAGTTGATATATTTCCGAATTTATTCGACCGCTGGAACGTAGAGCTACTAACTTTTGAAACGGACATTGAACCATACGCTATGAAACGTGATAAAGCGGTCCAAGATATAGCAGCAGCTCATGGAGTCAAAGTGGATACGCATTGCTCACATACCATATACAATCCCGAGATAGTTGTTGCAAAAAATTTCGGCAGGGCGCCTATAACTTACCAAAAATTTCTAAGTGTAGTTGAAAAGTTAAAGTTGCCCAAAGTTTTAGATAAGCCTCAACGACTGCCCAATGGAGTGCAGCCGATCGCAGATGAACTTGAAGTGGGACAGTCCGATGTGTACGAATGTCCAACGTTAGATCAGTTGGTCAAACGGCCCCAGGAGCTGGGCATTAACAAGTTTCCAGGCGGTAAGAAAAGCAAATATATGTTCACAGATCCTTAATTATACATAAAACTCTAAATTAACAGGTGAAAGAGAGGCGCTGCGTCGTTTAGATACTTCGCTTAGTGACGAACATTGGGTCGCTAGCTTCGAGAAGCCAAATACGGCACCAAATTCGCTGGAGCCAAGCACTACGGTCCTGAGCCCGTATTTGAAATTCGGCTGCCTCAGTGCTCGATTAGTACACCAACGGCTACAGGAGATACTAAAGCGGCATCCAAAGCACTCAAAGCCTCCAGTTTCACTGGTGGGTCAATTGCTGTGGCGAGAATTTTATTATACGGCTGCTTCGGTCGAGCCAAATTTCGATCGAATGCTGGGTAACGTTTATTGCCTGCAAATACCCTGGCAAGAGCGACCCGATCATCTGGATGCATGGGCTCATGGACGAACTGGGTATCCCTTTATTGATGCTATTATGAGGCAGCTGCGTCAAGAGGGCTGGATCCATCATTTGGCGCGTCATGCAGTGGCGTGTTTCTTGACGCGCGGCGATTTGTGGATTAGCTGGGAGGAGGGTCAACGTGTCTTTGAGCAGTTGCTGCTTGACCAGGATTGGGCATTAAATGCTGGCAATTGGATGTGGCTCTCAGCGTCTGCATTCTTTCATCAATATTTTCGTGTTTACAGTCCCGTTGCTTTCGGAAAGAAGACTGATCGCACCGGCGCCTACATAAGGAAATATGTTCCTGAACTCGCTAAGTACCCAGCAGGTTGTATTTATGAGCCATGGAAAGCAACTCTTGCGGATCAGCGTGAGTTTGGATGTGTGCTGGGCATAGACTATCCGCATCGAATTGTCAATCATGACATCGTTCACAAGGAAAATATAAAACGCATGAGCGCCGCCTACAAAATAAATCGTGAAGTGCGCACGGGCAAACAGGAAGATGAAATAGACTATGATTCGTCGATGTCGCTGACTACTAATAAACGTAATGCAAGCTTCGAAACTAAGAGATCAACTGCAAAACGAAAGCGTTAAATTGAATTTCGATAATAAATAATTAGGAATTTATTGAATGCAATTATCTAAACTTTTATAATTTGAAATTTGTAATGTATTAATTATTGCCATTGTCACTATATTTATATAAATATTTATATATGAATGTATATTCAATCTATTTACTTTTTATAGTATTTTTCCCTTCTCATTATGTAAAAACAAATGCAATAGTTATTTTATTTAAATAAAAAAAGGGTGTGAATTATAAAATTTTACCAAAATATAATAATGAATGTACAAGGTATCAATTAAATAGTTTTTGATATGGGGCTTACATATAAGCATTTATTTTTTGTAATCGTGGGAAAATGTCAAAAATAAAGGAAAAAAAATGGGTTCAGGATATAATAAACCACGTGAGAAAGTTTAGTCGATACTGCTCGACACCGAGAGCCCTTGAAGCCTTCCAACAACTAATATTTCAATAATTCTTCGCTTCTTTTTCGCTTACAGAATAAACAGCCCCTGCACATACATCCGCAAACACGCACACATACGAGTATGCACGCGTGAGGCTGCAATCAGTATTGCTAGTTTAGCCTATTTCAGTCTATATTATCCTATTTGAAAGTGGTCTAGTCCATAACTAATAAATCCATTGATAATGAGTAGGGAATGGATTGGCTATGTGGAAGCTTAAGCTTAAGTCCTTAAGAGAACTATGTGTAGAGGAGAAGAAACTTCTGTCTAAGTGATTTCATCTAATATAAATAATAAATATTAATGTACTGAGGCTATTTAGCATGCATTTATCAATTATCATTTAATCATTTAGCAATAATTTAGTTTTATCAAGCATACATACATATATTAGAGGGCTACATGACTTCATCCACAACATGTGTATGAATGTCACATAGAGGCCTTTCCATATCAGGACGGATCAGTGAGGAAGATGCATTGAGTGATCTTGAATTGGAGTGCGCTTTAGGTGCTATAGCTTACCACCTTTAGCATAATGGGGGAGAATAAATGAAACATAAAAGGGAATGAAAAATTTGGTAACACATACATACAGCTCTCTAATACATGCATATATTTATATTCTTGAGCAGTTTAATGAGGTAAGTTAGCTATGAGTGCTTGATTGCCTATATAATCTTTTGTGTCTGTATGTTTCTCTCTTTGCCTGTCTATCTCACAGTCTGTGCCTTCGCCTGTTTTCTATATGTACGCAGCAGTAATCGTATGGTATTTATATTTGACTAAAACGAAGCTAGAATGCTTGAAGCAGCAGAGAGTGTTCGCTTTGGTCACTCAAGACTCGATTGTAATGATCTCTACCTGACGCCGGGCTCAAAATTTGAGAGACACTCAAGCTTTGAGTGAAAGGCGCCCTATATAAAGGGCAGCAGCTGAAGCATGTCTTCAGTCGCTCAGACCCGGTGGGGCCAGTAGTGCAGTGCAGTGCAGTACGGTACAGTTTGTTTTTTTTTTCTTTTTTTTTTTTAATTTTTAAAAATTTTTTTGTTTGTAGTATGTTTATAATTTTGTTAAATTCATTTTCTCTTGTTTATAGTTTAATTTTTTTTGTTTAATTTTTTTTCTTATTTTTGTTTTTTATTTTTTAAATTTTATTTTGTTTTATTATTGTCTTTCATTTTTTGGTTCTTTTTTTTGTGAACTCAGTACATCTAAGCCGTAGTTCTGTAGTTTTTATTTTATTAATTCAATTATTTATGTTTTTCTTTTATTTATTTTATTTCATTTATTTATTTATTTTTGTATTATTTTTTATTCTCATTTATAATTTTTTTTTTTCATTAGTATTATTAATTATAGCTTTAATTACCAAGGCCCGGTTTGGGCAGCCGTTTTAATTTATATTTCATAATTTTTTGGTTTGGGGTATTGCTCTAATTTGACTTTGTTTCAGTTTTATTGAAGGTATAGGGAAGTGCCGTTTTTTTTTTATATACCCTGAACCTGCTTTGGAATGTACACACATATTCACCACATGATTACGCTCTGAAAGTTTCATTAAGATCGTATGTCTACAAAAGAAATTATTCAACAAATAAATTATCATAATATTGCCCACATTGCAGCGCAGCCCAAGCGCAGTCGCCGCTTACTGCGTAGTTAGCAGAGCGCAGGCTTATGCGTGCGTGTGGATGCATGTGTATGAATGTGTGCATAAGAGGAGTGCAGAATAATTCGAGTATCAGCTTAGAGGGTTCAGGGTATCTCCTAGTCGAGCAGTCTCGACTAGAGCTTTCTTACTGTTTTTTTTTTCTTGTTTTTCGTACTATTTTAATTTAATTAACAAAATTGTTTTCTGTCAAAGCCCAGTGAAGTGTCAGTCGTGAAGTAATGTGAAGTGAAGTGTATGATGCATCCAAGCATTCTTCAGATTGTTTATTTGTCTTTTATTTTAATAATTGAATGATTTCTCTTTTTTTGATGTTGCCTGTTTTATATGATGGTTCTTTTTTTTATTTTTTTTTAAGTTTTATTTATTTACTTTTGCTAATTGTGTTGGTGTAGTTACTTTATCAAACAAGATTTGCGAAATTCTTTGAATTGTATTGTTATTATTGTCATATGTTATTTGATGTAATTTCATTTTGGTTTTCTAGCATTTTATTATATATACAATAAATACATCATTTTACATAATTTAAATATTTTGTTATTTTAATTCTTTTTGTTTTATTACTTATTACTTTTGTCGGCTGTTCTGGTGGGCTAATGACCTCATCAAAAAGAATTGGCAAAATTTGTGGAATATCAATATTAGTATTATATTTTTTTGTATTGTAATTATTAAATGAAATTACAAAATCAAAATAAATTAATTAATAAATTGGTCGCACGAGCGTATGGAGCTAGGAATGCTCAAATTAACTATTTTCCATAGATAACTAACTAACTGTCTAACTGTAAAATTGAAATAAATCTTAAATAACCACCAATACATATATGTATATCTTATGATAAAGTGCCTTATATGTGTCATCAAAGTAGTCGATGAGTTTGATATTTGTGTTATGTGTTTTCAGATGCTAGCTGGATGGAATAGTCATATATTCATATAAGTCAATACTTTCGGCATACATAAGCTCGGACTCCTGTTTTGAAATAAAATTATAATCTTATAATTCACTGAATTCCAGTTCAAGAGTCGTGTGAAAATAATTAGATTTAAAATGTTTCGAAATCTTTGCATGCTCCGCAAAAGCATCCTAATGTCTAGAATTATTTATTCGACTTATAATTACCCAATTAGAGCCAATTTGATCACCTACTCAAGACTTCGATCGAAAGCAGCAGAGTCGGCTAACAGAAGTGGCGTTTCGGTATCAGACATCAATGTATACGACATGGCCAAAGGAGATGTGGAATTTGCGCGCGATTTTCTAACCTCGGCCCCATCGCTTAATAACGGCTCGTTCTCCCCCGTATCAATTGCAACAAGTGCTTTCAGCCCGGAACCAGCTGTCGGTGCAGGCTCGAACATAGAAATAGAAATCGAGCCTGTATCTGAATCTCCAGATTCTGGTATCGGTAGTGCTAATACTACCATACTGGACAAGGACGGATTGCCCATTGTGCCAATAGAAATCGATGGTTGGAAGAGCAGTGAGGATGATGACGATGGGCCCACCGTCCAGAGCGTTTCGCAACACATTGAAATTGGAAACGATAGCGAGTACAAAGCCGATAATATGCTTGTGGTTCCCGAGAAACGAGAGGGCAGCTTCGAATACAAGGGCATTAAGGTAAAGCTTCCGGAAACGGCTCACAAGGATATTGGCACTTATCGTTTCCGGCGCGACCCAGAGGACTTGGAGACTGTTGCGGATGATATGCGTTTGGTAAAATTTGATAAGAAATAATCCCCATGCTTTCAAGGGCCACCTGTAATTTAAGTCGCTCAAAAGATGTGCTCAGAATGATTATGTCCTTGGGATACTCAAATTGTATGGAAGGCGAAAATAATGTATTTCCTAATTAGTTGCCGGTTTCGAATCGTAGTTTTTGACTTAGCTATCTATTTTTGGTATTTTGTTGAATTAAATGCGACTTTGGTATGACTGGTCATGTATTGCAATCTTAAATATCTTCCGTAATGAATACAGACAGTGAAAGGCTTAAGTAGTCTTTGTATCGCTCTTCCTGTTTCCTAGCTGTACTTAGGTATTTGGAAAGGTCATCGCCAATATCGGAAAATCACATGAACTATCGTTTTGCAATGGTAACGGTCAGTAAGGCTGCATTATGAAATTCCCTGTAGTAAGGCTGCATTCTGAAATTCCCTGCAGTAAAGCTAATACTTGTGCCAAAAGAAAAAAATATAATTCGCAAACGAGCATCCAAGCTTGAATAAACTCTGTCATAACCTTAACAGTCAAACAACTTAACATATGGGAACATGAAAAAGTACCATTCATTTTAATTTTTAGTACTGAGTACATAATATCTTTGTTGACAGTAGTTGGTTTAAAACTTAGCTAAGCATCACTGCAAATAACATTGTCGTTAATTTACACAGGGTACTGTAAAGGACCAACGTGAAAGGTACTGTTAAATGACTTGTAGTATTGACAACCATGGACGAAGCTAATGTATTTATTGTAAAAAAAAAAAAAATTAAAAAAAATTCATTACCCCTCAATTGTGAAGAAGAACCAATGGTACAATATTATGAATTTTTGTAATTATGAATTGCAATATTCACATTAAAAAAGTTATTCGCCATTATTTGGCGTTTGTAACATATCCATGCAAATTGTTCCGGAGTTTTAGCTGTAATTCTTTATAGATCTAATCTATCAACAGAACAGATATATAAATACAAATTCTCTTAACATGGACCATAGGTAGGCCAGCAAAGTTGACCCCTGCGTGACTCCTAAGGGGCATGCTTCAGTTTTCGGAGTTGCGGCAAATTCAAATTCAATTCTGTTTTGTAAA